GGTATTTTAGCTTAATATAAAGAAGAACCTTCTCATACGACTGTTCAGGAAATGATAACAGTTTTTTCCTATAAAGTGGTTGGTTGCTTCTTGCCACTAGAAGCAACCAAGCAAGTATCTAGTGACCAGCTGTCATGGGCCTGAAGGGACGGTTTCTGCATGGAGTGAGGTCAGGATGAGATCACCTCTGACGTCGCATCCCAGTTCGTCACATCCTATGAAATTATGCACTATTATGTATCAGTATTTACTGTAGTCATAATAGACTATATTCTTTAAAATAAATTATAGATGCTGCTGTTCATATAATGAGGTAACAATTTGGAGGCTAAATGTTCATGCTTTGCATATTACTTAATTGTAAGAATGCATATCATAGAAATGCTGTTATTATCAGTACATAAATTTCCTTTATTCTTCACGCAGAAAATTTTCTCTTTTTCAGATAAGAGCATGGGTATTTTTAGTATGATTTTTTCTTTTTTTTTTTAACATACGCTACTTTGAACTTCCCTAATTAAGAAATCAGAACAGATGTGTATCTTAATTAAGAAACTCCCTTGAGCCCTAGCCGGTTTGGCTCAGTGGCTAGAGCATAGGCCTGTGGACTGAAGGATTCCGGGTTCAGTTCCAGTCAAGGGCACATGCCTGGGTTGCAGGCTCTCGATCCCCAGTAGGGAATGTGTAGGAGGCAGCCGATCAATGATTCTCTCTCATCATTGATGTTTCTATCTCTCTCTCCCTCTCTCTTCCTCTCTGAAATCAATAAAAAAAAACAACCCTCCCTTGAAATTCATTGTATTTTACTATTCTTAAAAACAAACCAAAAATTGTTAAGGAAGAAAGACCCAGTAATTCAAAATGTATTTAAATAAGTGACTCTTTGTCTTTTAAGGCTTGTCGTCTGGATCCTGCATTGGCAGATGAACTTCACTCTTTACTTATTCACCAAAGAATTTAGACCATAGTGCATTTCAACAAAGATCGTGTGTCCTAATACCTTCAAATGTATGTATTTTCATAATAGCTACATCTGGTTATTTTCTGCATCTCAAGTTACATTATCTTGGTTTTTTTCCTGATTGCATGTTACTTTCGTTCTTGAATTTGTATTTCATAATTTTGCAATTTGAAACGCAGCTATAAGCTCAGATTGCTGGATGAGTCCTCAGAAATCCAGCTCTTAGCCTCTAGACTGGCCTACACCAACCACACAAAATACTGAAAACCATTCCACAAAACAACTATCTTCAAACAGTGTCCCAAAAGACACAGTGCAGCCTTAGTTTTAATAACTTCAGAAGTATAAATGCTACCACTTATAAAATTTTATATATGAATTTTGAATAACTTTGTCATTTTAACTTATTTAAATGTTTTAATTTAAAACTCACAAAAATATATAAAAAGAAATTTAAAGGAACTTTCAAATAATGTGTGTGTTTATTTTAATTTGTGTAGCACTTAAGCTTCTGAAGTTATTAAAGCTAAGACTGCATTGAGTCTTCTGGGACATCTTATATTCTCAAGAGATTCTTATAAATAATTAACTTGGATGATTTATGATAAACTTTAAAAACAGTGGGTTTAAGAAATTGCTTAGACTCTTGCAACTCCTTATCTTAAATATCTTAATTTATTGAGTGAAAAACTGCTCTATTCTTGCTAAGACAATCAAAGCAAGAAGTTTTCTTGGTATTTCATTTTCTACATTTTAAGAAACCTAGATATATTTAAAAGGAAGATGAAATGTGCAAAAAATCCCAATGAAATCATCAATACAGAACTATAACTAAATATGGTTAAAAATTAAATGAGCAAGAGGCTTTCTTTGTATCAGTGACATTAATGAAGGCAAAATTGACTGAAAAATTGTAGAATTCATATGCAGAAGACTGCAGTGGTATACATCTGTGAAACAAGAACACTGAAAATGATGTCTTAAGATGCCTTACTATCTTCTTTGTAAACATTCTAAACTAATGTTGCTTATTTTAAAAATCAGGTCCCTTCCTTCCCTCCTCTTCCTCTTCCCTCCTCTTCCTCTTCCCTACCTCATCCCTGCCCCTCTTCAGTTCAGCTCACATCCCACCTCCTTAATGCATCCTTTCAAGCACTAATTAGGCTCTTCTCATTCACACCAATCATCATATTTGTCATATATTCATTCTTGTCTGGATAAAGGGCAGCAGACTTTATATTTCCTTGCAGAAGTACTTACATGCACAGGGTTTTCTACAAAAAGGGTGCCAGAAGTGTTGCAATCTCTCTTTTTTTTTTTGAGATATAAGTGTTTTAAACATCACAGAGCTCTATGCTTTCTTTTTATATTTTATTGCTTCAAATGCTTCAAACTATGGGAAATCTTTGGTAAAAATAAAGACAAATTTTCACAAGAACTTTACATAAAGGATAGTACAACAATGTTCTTCAATACACATGAATATAGGAATGTTCAAAATCCTCAGTGAGGAAATTAGCTGTACAGTATTCACAGTTCTTCATTTTAAAACAACTTTTCATAAATATTTATATTTCCTAGGTTCTTATCACATTAACAGTTATATTTCAACTTTAAAGTATTTATATTCTTATTAAAATAATCCCAATAATTAATAGAAGTGGTTTTTCTGTTGCCTGCTACAGCCTCAGTCTGCTTAGTTCACATGAAACTGGAGGGAGGTCACTAAAATAAAAGTCAGTATTGTTCTCAGTGAAGCCCTCTGTGGAAAGAGGAAATGGTTCATGTCTATTATCACAGACATTTCTTGGTGGTTTATTCGTGCAGACTCAAACCTGGCCAGCTCTCAGTGGGTCCCCGTGAGCTCTCAGCTCAGGACACAGTTCAATCAGCAGCAATTCCATCAGCACCTGAACCAAGAAAGGAGGAGAAAAGAGGAAACGGTGTTTTCTCTCTAAGTGTTTACGCAAATATCTATGTACAGTTGGGAAAAAGTCTAGTTTTAGGCCTGGGATTATTCTCAGTGAACAAGTTACTCTCAAGGAGATGGAATCCACAGTTATTGCGTGGTCTGTTAATCAACACCAGACCGTCAGCAATGTTTACTGTGCCACCTGTGATCGACGGAGGCCTGGCAAACCGTTTGCTTGTTGACATAAGAAAACCAAGCAGCACGTCACAGGTCACGAAGGCAGACAGTGAGAGGATGAGAACAATGCACCCACCAGGGGGATGTTTTCCTGTCTTCGTGCCACCACATTTAATAGGCAGACACACGAAGTGAAGCAGAGAAAATGGGGGCAGAGCTACAAGTAATATGAATGATGAAGAATACAGAGATTTTATGTGTGAATAGAGTGTAAAATTAAAGAAACAGCCCTCTGGTGGGCTTTACAGTACTCACATATAACAGATGCTTATTGGCTCTTGTTTCTTGCAGCGCATTGAATATTTTTATTATACCATGACGGGCATTTTGCTGTCCAACAAGGTTCTGAAGCATATCTGAAAAATTAAGTTTAGATGCTACACTGTTATTGATCAAGTGCACAATGCGTAGCTATTCAGTGAAGGAGATATTACATGATATGTACACAACAAATGAAGGCACTGCCTTGGCCAGTGTGGCACAGTTGGTTGGAGTGTCATCCTGGACACCAAGTACGTCAAACTTTCGGCCCGCGGGCTGCATGCTTCATTTATTTGGCCCATGTTAACCTTTGAGTTTGACATGCTTGCTGTACACCAAAAGGTCGCCAGTACCATTCCCAGTCAGAGCACATACCTAGATTGCAGGTTCAATCCCTGGTCGGGGCGTGTATGAGAGGCAACCAATTGATGTCTCCCTCTATACCCTCCTCTTCCTCTCCTGTCCCCCTCTCCCTCTCTTTTTTCCCCTCTCTAAAATCAATAAATATATCCCTTATTATAAATAAGGGAAGGGAGGGAGGTAGGGACGGAGGGAAAAGAAAAAAGAGAAGAGAAAAAAGCCTATGGCCTGAGGGACATGAATGATCAGTTCTTTTCAATGTTTAAAGAGAAAAGATTATTTAGAATTTTTCAACATAAGGCATTTATACACACTATAATTTTATTCAATGCTACCCAATTAAAAACTAAGTGTTCAAAACACTATACTTTTGCCCTGGCTGGTGTGGCTCAGTGGTAGAGCATTGGCCCATGTACAGATGAGTGGTGGGTTTGATTCCGGGTCAAGGACATGTACCTGGGTTGCAGGTTTGTTTCATGGCCTTGGTTGGGGTACATGCGGGAGGCAACCAATCAATGTGTCTCTCTCACATCGATGTTTCTCTCTCTCTTCCTCTTCCTAAAAATCAATAAACATGTACTTGGGTGAGGATTAAAAATAAATAAATAAATGCGCTGTGGCCCGAGGAACATGAATGATCAGTTTTTTCAAATCTTTAAAGAGAAAATAAGATTTAGAATTTTTCAACGTAAGACATTTATACAAACGATGAGAGGCCCGATGCACGAAATTCATGCACTGGGCGGGGGCAGTCTCCTCAGCCCAGCCTGTGTCTTCTTGTAGTCTGGGACCCCTTACTCCTCACCACGCGCCTGTTCGCTGCTCCTTACTGCTAGGCTCGCTGCTTCTTAGCGCTACTGTGGAGGCAGGAGAGGCTCTCGCCACCGCTGCTATTCTTGCCAGCTGTGAGCCAGGCTTCTGGCTGAGCAGCGCTCGGGGGGGGGGGGGAGTGCACTGACCATCAGGGGGCAGCTCCTGAATTGAGCATCTGCCCCCTGGTGGTCAGTGCGCATCATAGCGACCAGCTGTTCTGGTCATTCCACTGTAATGGTCGCTTAGGCTTTTATTATATAGACTAGAGGCCCGATGCACTAAGATTCGTGCAAGAATGGGCCTTCCTCCCCCTGGCTGCCGGCACCGCCTTCGCTCCGGCTGGAGCCGCCTTTCCGCCTTCACTCCAGCCTGGAGCCACCTTCCTGCCTTCGTTCCAGCCGGAGCCTTCCCACACTGCCCAGAAGCCCGGAGGCTTGGGTGGTGAGGAATGCAAATTAACCCGCCATCTTTGTTGGGTTAATTTGCATACTCACTCCTGATTGGCTGGTGGACATGAAGGTATGGTCAATTTGCATCTTTCCTTTTATTAGTGTAGATAATTTTAATACATTGCTACCAAATTAAAAATTAAGCATTCAAAAACTATACTTTAGTAGAATTTTTAAAGCAACATATTATCTGTTCCAAAACATTCTTCTAGTTTAAATATCTGTATAACCCATATTGTTCTTAAGATTTTCAGTATAATGTCTTAGCAAGGGGCAAGACATGATTTAAAAAGTGTGATCATTTTTCACTGCAAATAGTGTTTCCCGACAGAGCTGAGTGAACCCTCATTAGGCTAACGCTCCCTCTCTCTCTGTGCCCGCAGGTGAGAAGCGGCCTCACCTGGAATGTTTTCTAGCAGCTTCTGCTGGGCTCTCTGCTTCGTTTCCTGGCTTTGTTCTTTGCTTCTGATTTTGGTTGGTGGTGCCAGTTTCCCATTTGGCCAAAAAGCATCCCGGAAAACAGTGATGTAGTACACCAGCATCTGCTCGCTGAAAATCCAGTTCACTGTGTCCCGAATTTGTCTTTTAAGAGAAATATATTTCTTGGATGAGATTTTAAAAAATTTTCATACTCTGTTCTCAAAAGGCATTTATCAATTATCAATGAGTAGGTTAAGACACAGCCTGGTCTAAATGTTTGATGAATAAACTAGGAATGGCTTTTTAAGCTCTGGCTCTGACTTGGTTTCTATGTTGGTAATCCTGAATGTCCATTTATTCCTGGAGCTTGCATTTTCTTTGGTGCTGACTTCTGTGGTATCTTTCACTGAGAGACTGATTTGTCTGAAGCTTGCAACTGTCCTCACTGTGCTCAGAACTCAGTATACCGATTTCTCCATGAAGTGCTATCAGCTGGAAACGTAAGTCGCTGAAAGGCGGTTAGAAGTGCCTGAAACATCCTGAGTCCTGAGGTCTGTGGCAGATCACCCGGGCAGAGTCCTGACCCAGGGACTCATGGCACGTGCTCACGAGGCAGGAGAAAACACGGGCCCCCTCTCACCACAAGGTGGAGGACCCGAGAGATACACTCTCTCCAGCCATTTCCAGTTTCCGTGGGAGTGAAAATTGGGCACGGCAAAAATAAAAGGCTTTTATCTGCAACCAGGTCTCCCACACAAACCTGTTTCATCAGTTATCAGTCAACGTCTAACCAGTTACAGGGCTGCTATCAGGAGACAAGTAACCGTAGTTGAGAGATGTTCATTGGGAATAGGAAGTCTCTTTGTTGACAAGGGGGAAAGAATCATTTTAGAATTTAGTGCCAGAAAGACCTGAAATTTCAAACTCAATTCATGAGTAATAAATTTAAAAATCGGACTTACCAACCCGATTTTTAAAGGGACAATGTAAGGTTTTGAGACTGCACACAGTAACCAGTCACTACTGAAGTCTCCCCTCCACTGGGATCACACTGTTCATTGCACCTCTCATTGCTTAGAACTTAAGTGCAATGCATATCTAGACCAAATAAAGTAACTGTATTAACTTAACGGGCTTGTGATTTAAGAGAGCCTGCCGCCCCCACCAGCCTAAGAAGAATCTATATAACAAGGCAGACGTCTTGTTTCCTGTCACCTGCCTTTGGTGCTACATGAAGAAATGAATAAGAACATTTCAATTTGCAACTTAAAATTGGGTAAGTGACTCTCACCAAAGGCCATCGCCTAAGTCTTTTCTATCAGTTTAGGTCTGACTTTCTATCAGCCAAAACCACAGGAAGCTTTTGAAGCAATCCTGGTATGTGGAATTAGAGTTGTACATGGCAGGTACTGCTGCTGATTTCTATGAGACATCATCAGCTAAAGGCAAAAAAGCCAAGGACAAGCGGGCAGGGCCTCCATATTCCTCCACCTGAGGAAGAGCCCGGACAACCTACAGGTGCCTCTCCGCCAGCCCCCGGAGCTCACTGACATTTCAGAGTCACTGTCTACAGAGGAGCAAGAAAAGCATGAATAACTTCCTGAAACTGAAAGTAAAAACACATTGGCAGGTCTGAGTACTGAGGACAACAGGGCCATTTTGGAAATGTCATTATCCAACGCCTATCAATACTAAAATCAAATTTTGACTCAGACTGAAACTTAAACAGGCCATGTTTTCTGATGAAAACAAAAGCCTATGATAGGAGCTAAAGAAATCACCAACACCAGTTTTTAAAAAATCTTAGAAATAAACAGAAGAAAAATTTTGTTTAAGACCAAGGAAAATATATGTGCAAATGAATAAAAAGATAACACGGTTTTTATTTTCCATAAAAATGTGTAAGATTTATATGATAAAACTATCACATTAACCTTGTACATGTTTGACAACAAAACTAGTCTTTCAATTTGAAAAATCTGATTTTCATCTTAAAATATAGTTGCTGTACAAAAATGTGATTTTCCCCCTTATTTTTAGCATTCGACTCATTTTTATTGTGCAACAAAGCCATAATGTTTGTCTCCTGGAGAATACTAGATATGGAGTTAAACTTTTATGTATATAGATAATGGAATATTAAAATATTCACATGGCTTATAATAGTGTTATATAATGCACACACACACACCCACCCCTGATGTATGCTCAGATAGTAACAAGAGGAATTACCCTTTTAATGTTACCTGACTAAAAAAATGAATGGTTTGTATTTCCCTCCAAGTACATAGCGGCCACGTGTGAGGCTCAGCCTACTTTCATTTTGGTTTAGAGTCTAAACCTTAACCTGCCTCCCACCAGGTAACACAGAAACACTGTACCCAAGACACTCAAACTGGTCATCACGATCAGAAGAGAACTTTACAGACTCTCCTGACCTCGTGGGCCAGAATGCGGAGCTAGCCCAAGCATTCGTCAGCGAGCTCACATGCACTCTGTGGGAGAGCGTCTTCAGCAATCTGCCTTCCTAGCCAAGCTCAGAATCGTATCAGAAACAAGAAGAGAAAATAAGATACCTTCAGTGAGAAAGATGACTGGCTGCTATACCACAGCTCATTTGACGATTAAGGCAAAGAGTAGGCATGAATTCAAATATTAATTTTGTGCAACTCACTTGTTGATGGTTCTTCCAAAAGTGACCTGAACGAGAGCAATTAATGTTCTTCTCACCCATTTAAACACTAAAATGTAAGTCAGAGGAAAAGTATTATCACAGGAGAGCACAATGATGACATTTTCATAGCTGCACAAGCACACACTTTATCACGGAGCTCAAGCGCAGGCCTGACGCCAAGCCAGGGCCATGGTATCTGCAGGATGCGGGTCTAGGTTAGCAAACTTCTGCCCAGGAAAATTCTTACGAAGCTTGCATTTTCTGCTTAGCAACCTATAAGATAAAACCTAGGAGTTTTTACAGCGTTTCAATACCCAAACAGCAGCTGAGCTAACAAGTGGAAATAACACTTTACTTCTTATGTCCCTGGGCTCCTGACAACGGTCTGTTTTCCACCAGCAGACAGATTTCTGTCTGGCTTGTTGCCCAATTTTCTAACACTTCTCTGAATGAGAAACATGTGTAGTCAGATGTCCACAAATATTGTGAAATATTCATGAACGGATGGGTCTAACTGCTCCCATTTGAGCAGTAGTTTGTAGAGCAACATGCACTTTTGTATATTTTATGCCTTTGGGGGAAGAGCAGGATCCTGAGCCGTGAATTCGGTCCTCTCCTGCTGCCTCGAGCAGCTGGGCAAAGCCGCCTCCTCTGAGCCTCAGTTCCTCATCTGGGAAAGGACAGTAGTAACGTGAGTTTTTTGCGCTGAGGGTCTTATCAGAATTTTGTGTGAAGGAGTGTTGTGAAGGGTTCTACAAATCTAAACTTTTATGATTTCTATAGGTACAGAATTAAATATAAACAAAAAGAAGACAAAGTAATGCTGTGAGGACATTTTAGGTCTGCAAGTTGGAGACTAAACCAATTTGCATTTATATATTCTCCTCCATTCATTGAAACATTTAGCTACAGACACCTGAGTAAATGAGACACTCAGACTTGACTATAATGGAGCCGAGAGTTCAGGGCTCCTGTGCCGGTTAGAAAACCTAAAGGAGTAAATGCACAAACCGTCTGTGCAGGGAAGCCACAAACACACGTCAGCAATTCACACAGACCTGGTACTAGACTTCAGAACAGTCTAAGGTCATTTCTAACATTTTAAATGGCTAAATGACCAGTTAAAGTAGTGTTGCTAATCCTTCAAGTAAGATTCAAGTCCTGGAGTCGAGACCATGCCTTTAAAAGCACCTTAAATTTCCGATGGCACACAGGGCACGCTGCCAGCTGGTAGACCTCGTCGTCTGAGGCTGCCATTTAGGCTGGGGAGCCTGCCTGTCAGGGACGGTAACTCACCCGGCCTTTCTAGGCAGGAGAGAGGTGGCACCTACCAGGGGTCTGAGGACATGTGCATCTCAAGAAAAAAGGCCTGTCAGCCGACTGACTGCTTATATGTGTGTAAAAGGCTGTATTATTACTGGTTCCTTTTTGCATACTCAACCAGAGCAGGAACCAAAAATGGCCTTGCTCCAGATTCCCTCCCATCCCTGCTTACTCTACCACTTTTTCCTGTCCTCCCCACCCCCACCTCTGTACAAAACAGCCCAATGACTCCTTCCTAGAGCTCCTTTGCTCAAAGCCACAGAGGCAGCTGCAGCAACACTAGGATTTTGCTGACAGCAAAAATATCACATCTCATTGTAAATGTTCTATTTCCCCCCCTCGGAAATGTCACCAGCAAAACCAAATATGCATCTGAGCGGGCACATGATGGAGGACCGGCTCCTGACCTGACTGGCTCTGGCAGATCCACCACAGCTGGATCTCTGCATGGGAAGGCGAAGATGCCGGGAACAGGCCTCACCCCTTCATGAGCCGGCTCCATGAGGAAGAGGGAGACTTTGGGTAGAGGGCTAGTATTTCTGACCACCCTGAACCAGGGAAACAGCAGTAAATATCTTAAGTGTCTGAAGTATGCAACAGCTGTAGCTTTTTCATCTGAAAGGATCTTTAATATTTGGGTGATATTCCATCACCCAAATTTACCCTCCACTTCTGATATTTAGCTTAGTTCCAACTTTTCAATATTGAAATTTTGCTAAAAATGAACATCCTTATATATAAACCTCTGTCTGCAGTTTTGAATTTAATTATGTCTGTTGCTTAATGTGAGTTACATTTCTGGATCCCTTACCTTGTAAATGCACTGAAGGAAGAATCTACATCTGATATAGTTTTGTGTCCCCTACAGAGCTGTATCTAAAATATGCTCCCAAGTATTTGCTGATTGTTTAAGTTTGGGCTTAGGCGAAGAAAAAGTTCAATGACCAAAACAATTAATTTCGGCACTTAAAAGGAGCTCGCCTATTCATCCATCAGTGCATCCATCCAGGCATTTCACTGACCACCTACTATGGTTGAGACACTGTAGTAGTCACTGAGGAATAAAAGTCACACAGACACACCTAAATTTATAAGACCACTTGCAGTTTTTTCATCTGCTAATAATTCTTTAGGTGACATTAAGGGGATATATAATTCAGAAGGGACACACTTCCTATATAAGACCCACTCCCAGCCCACCGCCTTTGCCCCAAGGGAAAAGATGCTAATCTGGGTGGAGAGAGCCCAGGACAGTCAGGGGCACCACTTGACTGCTGGTGGCATTACTATGCCTTGCAAACAAACCCTTGCTCTCT